GATCATCCACAGTAAATTAATATCTGAGTTCTTAAAACATTTGAATTTAAAATCGACTAATTTTTCTGCATGTTTAACTTTTTCATTACATTTATATAAATAACATAATTATATCGTTAAATCATTAAAATCGTAAATAAATAAATGAATTCATGTTTAGTTTGTTAAATGTTTTTATGCGACAAAACAAAGGTAAGTAACTCATTTTGGTGAGTTTCATGAATAGCCTCCCTGGAATTGTATTTATTCAATTTTTTACAAATAAATAAGAATAATTCAATTTCGGAACATTGTAAAGAAATCAATTACACTCTGTAATTTAAAACTGCTGCATATTTTTGCTATATACAAATATATTATTAATTTATTTTTTTAAAGTGGCAATAAAAATTTTAACAAATGTTTGAACTACAGAAAAAAAAAACTACTTCATCATTTCATTTTGATTATGACCTAAAAAAATGTCTACAATTGTGCACCATGGTTTGGATTGTAGTGCGTAAATATTTTTTTTGTTTGTTTGTTTGTTTCCCATTGACATTGCAATTACTACAGATCTTAACTGCTTAATTATTGTGATTTCCTCTACAGAATAAATATCTATAGCACTAAGGGAAAAATTTAATGAATTAAATTGAATTTTGAAATTTTTTTTTTTTTTAATTTCAGTACATAATCAATTAAAAAGAGATTGTCAGTGGTCAAAAAAAGTGTTACTGACGGAACATGACTATATCTATGAAGTATTACTAATGGTTCTACTACGAAAATACACTGAAAATAGTTTTATCCGAGAAATAGATTGACAAGCAGAAATAAAAGAGGTTGTCCGTTATCAGGAATTAAAACATCTCTTGATGACAGGATTAGATGGTTATATGTATAGCAATAGCATTATGCATTGATACTGTTGTAGTATTTGTGAAGAAAACATTAAAAATATATATAAATTAAAATTTGGTAAAATGAACAAATTAGATTCAAATTATTAGAACATAATCCATTGATTAATTAGATTCAAATAAAATAGATTTTATTACAAATTATTAATAAGATATAAAATTCCTTCTGAGTGGATAACAACTGAAAAAGAAATTTATTTAACTTATAATTCATGGAGAAAGATAAAGATTACACAACATTTAAAACATATATCACATTATTTAACTTCAAAGTTTCTGCTTATAAGCATCTATAGTTAAGTTATTAGAAGTTTTATAATACTCTTCAAGCAACACACTTTCAAATAGAGCCAAGTATTTTTCTGTTAAATATTCACATGTATTTTGTGTCTAATACAATATCCTCAGAAGAGGTATAAATAAAAAACAACATATCAAATAGATAGTCTGTGTGATAGTCTAAGTAGCAGATGGATGTACCAGTCTGAGCAGACTTAGTAAGAGGGGACATTAAGAAATCTTCCTCTGTCTAGTCTATTTCCTGTTGTACAAAAAATGTTTTCATATGAAGAAAGTTGGATTAAAAAAATAATTTTTGTAAAATACCTTAACATTTAACAACTCGTGAAATATAAAACTTCTAAATTTACATATCAGATGCTTTCTTTATTTCCTTTCCTTTTTCTTTGTGAACAAATTGAATATTTTTATGAGGTCAAATTTTCACCCCTCCCCCACCAACATTCCACACTTTATTTACATTATTTGTACTTGGACTGTTATCACAATACTCTGAGTATAAATCATACTTATTAAAAAACCCAGGTTGTGTGTGTGTGTGTGTGTGTACGTTTATATATTGGATCAGATTTCCTACATTTTTCAACCGATTTCAACAAAACTTCACAGGACTACGTAAAATTACCTTGCAGTGGTTCTGACAGTGCCAAAAATTGGAAAAACACAATTGTTTTTGCATGAAATCAATTTGAAAACACGATTAAGAGGCATCGCAAGAATGAAAGGGGGACAACTCATATCAAGTTATACTTATAAAACCCAGGTTGTGTGTGTGTGTGTGTGTGTGTGTGTGTTCATTTATATATGGGATCGGATTTCCTACATTTTTCAACCGATTTTAACAAAACTTCACTTTTTTTTGGCAGGTAGTGTTTCTTATTGTCTTGCACACTTTTTTCTTTATTTTTACATTCAGAATGCTTTAAAAATTCCATTTACAAGACAATTGTTTATAATAAAATTCTATTCAATCGGTAGACTCATAACAATTGAAAACAATGTTTTTGTTTGAGTTTGGGTTTGACCAATTCATAAAAAAAAAAAAAAAAAAAAAAAAACTAATTAAGACATGCGTGTTAAACAATAATCTTTGTCAATTTTATTTTCAGTCTTTATGACGGTCGATACTTGATCTATCTCTTACTGTTACATCCCTGGACAACGCCGGGCTCTACTGCTAGTTACATATAAATTGATAACTCCTCATTCACAAAATTCTGACAGAAATCAATACTGCAATATTTGACTACCTTCCTTTTAATGTAAAGTATACATCATATTACAAAAGAGAAAATATATTAAAGTGTCACCCACTATAAAATATCAAAGGGTTAAAAGAGTAAAAAAAACAATCAAGGTAGCAAGATTTTCTATGGTTTCTTTTGTCTTCATCTTTTCCTCCTTTTTCTGCTTTTAGGATATGCTGATTGCAGAGGACTATGACCTCCCACCACAAAAGTGTCTATCTTTCAGTTGGAGACATGCACACACAGGTAGACACCTAACCTATGTCAAATTTTGTAAACCAGTATGTCTGGTTTACAAAATTCAACTTTTTGACTTTAGTGCTGGGTTTCTCAACCTTTTTTGCATCATCACCCACTTTCACATGGAAAAATATTACACTGCCCACATGTATAGCAAATATTCCACTGCACACCTGTATAGTAAATATCTAAATGCATACAGTGATGGGTAAGTTATGTTTTGATGGGTAATTTTCCTGCTTTGATAAATTCAAGATGGCCAATGTGATAAAAAAAATTAAACAATTTTATATTAAAAAAAATTATCCTGATGCCACTTCTTAATTTTACTGACAAAGTTGTTCTGGATCTTCTCTTATCTGATTTATATCTGAAAAAAAAAATATTATTTCATCTGATGAACTATCTGAATGTTAATGACCCTTCTCAAAAATATAGAATATACCAAAATATTCCTAGTTTGTGGGGATATTTATATCCTATTCAGGAATGTGACCCACTTATTCCCAATGAGCTTCCTGTTTTTTTTAATACCTTTAAATATCTTCTTTTAATATTTTTTTTGCAGGTAGCATGTGTTCAAATACCTTTTTAATGCTATAATGCTATATCATCCACCAAATTTTCCACTGATCCACCATTTTGAAAATTGAAAATTCCCACCAGTGAATGATATCACCCAAGTTGAAAAACCCTGCCATAGTGTAAACCAGAATAATGTCTCCCTTTTTATCTCTAGTCTCAGCCAGACCTATGTCAACATTGTTAACTGGTGTGAAATAGAACTGTATCTTACTTTTTGACTCTAGTGTAAACTATATCTATCATTGCTTATCTATTAGTTCACTGTGATTTTTATCCTATTTTTTTCCTATAACATATATATTCACTATTAAATAACCCAAAATGTATTGATATGTTGTTAAATTAGCTGATCTTAAAAATGATCACAAATAGTATAAATAATTATCATAATCAGTTGTTAACTGGAGCAAAAAATACCCAAAATTGTTGCTGAAGCTAAAATAAATAATTGGTTTGTTTTGTTTGGTTTGTTTTACAGCATATCAATCTCAATGGGTCATTTAATGCCGACAACTTTTTTTTTCTGGTAATATTTTTGTTTTTTCAAAAATCTATTTCTGTTAATATTTTTTTCCTCAAAAATATATAGCTGGTAATATTATTTTTTCAAAAATGTATTGTTGGTAATATGTTTTTTTTTTTCTTCAAAAATTTAATTTTGGTAATAATTTTTTACAAAGTATTTCTGGTATTAAAACCTATTTTTACACTTTTATAATGTCTTTTACCTCAGTTTATGGGTTAACTATTAGCTGGGACCCTAACTAGTGCTACCACCCTGGGTCAGGGCGGACCTCGGAACATCAGCAATTAACAGGTGGTTCCACGCTCCTCAAAGCCTCCTGATCAGAGGTCTTGCTGTTGGATGTAGTTTATTGTCTTACCCCGGATGCAGATGTAGTTTATTGTCATACCCAGGACGCTAAATAATTGGTTTGGTTTGCTTTGTTTGATAGCATATCAACTCTTTAATGCCAAAATTTAATTTTCTTGGGAACTTTGGTAAATTTTTTTTTTCAATATTGTATTCCTGGCAATTTTTTTTTTTTATGACAATGTATTCCTGGTTTTTTACTATAAAAATGTATCTTTATACTTTCATAGTGTTTTGACCCCAGTTTGAGGGTTCATATTTGCCCATAGTGGGAGCCCTAACAAGTGCTACTGGCTCCACACTCCTCAAAAGCTCCAGATCAGAGGCCTTGCTGTCAGATGTAGTTTATCGTCATACTCAGGACAACTAAAATCAATAATAAAAAAAACATAACAAATTTATAAAGGTTTATAAAGGTTCCACTGCCCATGTCTAGGGATATCGCATCTAGTTCTTATATGTTCAGTTATTGGTCACCCTGTCCTACAAGACAACATCCCAGTGGATTAAAGTGTTGGTTCATGAATTTGATGACATAGTAAATAATTGTCAACCGATATCTATCATACATATCCTGATAATAAGCATTTCTTACTTCCTCCAGTGTGATCCCTAATGTCCTTAAAAAATCTCACTCAGTAAAACTCTATGTTGAGTGGCTCTTGGGTCTTGTACTGGGTGAACTAAAGTAAATAAAAATGGTACTAATATTAAAAAGAATAAATGTAAACAAAAATATGAAGAAAGAAAAGAACATCAGATAAGAAATGAGATACATACGTGGCGGTAGAGTCTGGATACCATCTTGAGGTTCCAAGCAATATTCTTCAATATTCCAGACTTTAATCAAACCTTCGACATCTCCTGTTACTAGATAACTGTCTGTAGCATCGATAGCCATGGTAATGCTGCCAGCTGCCAAAACAAACAGAAAAAGATCAAAGTCAGGTATCTGTTTTATACATTTTTAATTATATGTTCAGAAGGTCTACTGTGGCATGATGGTTACCAGCATAGAAAATGGAATTGGCAACTTGATTAATTTATTCTTATAGTTTATCAACCTTTTGCAGGTTATTTAAAGCCAGAAAATATTTTTAGATTGTAAGAACTATTTTTAGAGATAATAATCATTTAGTGATACATGTCTTACTAATTAACCCATAGCTGAGGGGAGAAGAGGTGGATTCATAGTTTCACAAGGGTATTGGCACATAAGTGGATATAACAAACAGAACTGGAATTGTAACTTGGGTCTCCAATTAACACTCCAAAGCCATTATTCATTACAGCATCTGGTATTCCCAAGCAGTCACCCATCTAGGAAGTAACCAGACTCAAAGTTGCTTACCTTTGGTGATTGTATGGGAACACTCAGCAACCTGTTTGAATTCTAACTGGATTCATTTAGGTTCGCCTTGCTCTAATTCTCTTGAAAAACCAAGAACTCTCTTCTTCCTATATTCTGGTATATCACCAGATGACTTTTTCTTTTTTTTAATTCTTTCACCTCAAGCAAGGTGGGAATGCCACTAGTACACAGCAGGTTACAGAGAGTGAAAGTGAAAGAGAAGACTGAGAATAGAGAGGATTGAGGAAAGCACAAAAGATGAACAGAATTCAAGAAGACAGAGGATGGTGACTGGCATTGCATTTAAATTTTTGAAGATTGTAGTTATCAGGGAAGCAAGTAAACAGAAGAGAGTTCCACAAGTGGGAAGTGTGAGAAAAGAAACTGTTAGCTATTTCAACAGTAAAATGGTGGAACCTAGTTGCCAATCTAGTAACATGCTTAAATTCATGCAGTAGGAGCATCAGGAAAAAAAGATTGGCAAGCCATGATGGCTAACAGAGAAGAAAAGTAGGTGAGTAAGTATCTTGTTTGTTTAATGGCTTATCAAACCATTGTGGCTTATAGGAATTAAATCCTATATATATATTTCAACCAATAAAATCCCATTAGAAGGTTTGTTGGATAAACAATCATTACCAGGGCAAATACTGCTAAAATACATGCAGATGTAGTTGTAGAACTATGTGTTATTTTTGAGCCATTTAGAAAATAACGATAATAACTCCCTTCACCACTCCAGCAAATTCAAGAAAAAGACTTTCATGAGCTAGTGTGAAATTATTTTCTAACCAATGAAAACCTTGTATTCAAAAAGTTCACACCTCTATGTGAAATTACATTTTGAATTCACCTTACAGATATAAAAATAGAAGCCTACTGCTTCTTGAGGCTCAAAAACAATTTTGGAGGCCAGTTTGATCTACACATGCATACACACACAATGGAAGAAATTGACAGCCAGCAGTCACTGACTAATGCATACAATAGAAGGAATTAACCAGCAGCTACCCACTAAGCCTTTGTCTACAAACTCACAAACACATTAGGTTGACCATCATAAAGTACATCATTTCACACCATACTAAGAACACTTAATTACTTTATAAAAAAAAAATCACCAGAAGGAAAACTATTGTATATTTCTGAAAAAATATATAAATATTATTTCAAGTGACATTCTGTTTCTACTTTTCCTCCAATGAATAACCTTTTATATTCTTAATTTAAAAGATGTGTTGTTGTTAAATGTTTTGTATCCTGACACTCAGATAACAACAAAAACCTGGGTAGAAGGATCTCAACAAGCTTCTTGGTTTTTTAGTTTTTATTTAATATGTAATTAACTGATTCTGTCATTCTTTTCAGTTTTATAATGTTTAATCTGAGCATCCAATTCAAACTTGTGCAGCACCTGAGCAGATCTGTCAAAAAACTATCCAGCTGTTCATTGGTTTCCAGCAAATGAACCCTGTAGGGGTTAACATTGACCAAAACTCTTACACTGCCACTACACAATCACAAACAAAGAATCACAAACAAAGAACTGTACTAAATAACATAAATCATGTCATTTGAGGACTTTCAACAGCAGCAACAAATAAAATGGATAGTTCATGTAACATTGAAAAGAAAATAATCATGATGTTGATGTTCCATACTCCTTCAAACCTTTTAGGTTAGGAAGGAAATCAATACTGGAAACAGCAATAACAGCTACTGGACTTCTCTTCCAAATTGTTTTAAAAGAAAGATTTTATAAATTTCAATTGACAGTATCACTGCCTGTTCAGTCAATGAATACTGAATATTTCCTTATAAGGAAACAGCTAATATTGCCATTATCATATTATTGCTAAAAAATATTGCCATTATCATATTATATATTACTATTTTTTTTCATTATTATTATTTATTTTCATTATTATTATTTATATAAATATATTTATTATTTATATATTATTATTTATTTTCATTTTCATTATTATTATTATTTATTATTATTATTATATTATAAAATTATCATATTATAATATTGCCACTTTCATACTATTACTAAAAAAAAAGAGGATGCCTTGGCAGTGGCATCTTATTCTACTTCAAGTTACTCCACTTGAACCTCACACACTTATCCCAATCTCTCTTTCCCTTTGTAAACAGTCTGCAACATTAACTTACAGGATTTATATTAGCTGTTTTATTGTATTCCACTTAACCTTGTCTATGGTGCTTAGATTTTTGCTTTTTGGAATAAGTTAGAAATTACAGGATGCCAAGTCTGTGTTAGAAGAGCATATGATGGCGCCATTTTCATATGTTTCGTTTGCATTCCGATTATAATCTTCACATTTTAAAACAATTAACCAAGGAGTAAAGTTTGGTAAAATAATAGAAGTGTCAAGAAAAAACCGTCCTTTTGACTCTGATTTTTTGCAGGAACACAGTTCCAAGTTTGCTGACATATGTGAATGATATACTTTACCAAAGAAACCTGTACAAGACACAAAGAATCTACTTAGTTGTTGTGAATGTGATACACCATAGACAAGCTCACTCAGTGGTATCCCACTTCTGATTGAGTAACTTTATGGAAGACTGTCTATGCATGCGCAGTAAGGTCCCTCATGATTCATAGGCAATTTACATCAAAGCTATGCAACTATTTCTTAGGATATTCAAAATGGCTCGATATATTTCCAACAAATCTTGTATACTGAAAAAGAGGAAAATAAAGAAAGGGAAGTCTAACTTACAGTGGGCATGAGCTACAAATTCGGCTGCAAGGGAAGTGTGCTGAGTATTCCAAAAACGAACCCAACCATTTCCACCACATGAGACTAGATTTGCAGCTGTGCTTGTCAAGTTGCGCCGACTTTCAAGAATATGCAAATTTACCACAGCATAAGCAAATTCATTCTGCAATGCAAAACAAAATAAATTATTTCATCTAAAACATTGAATTATTTATCTTTTTTTTTTTTAAATTTAAAATGTAAAGCTGAGGTACATCAAAAAGAAAATCCAAAGGGAGTATATTAAATCTTTGAAAACTTTCCATTCATACTGTGTTTGTTATTGTCAGCTGTGAACATGTTTTAGACAAAACATTTGTTGGACAAGAGCAGCTAAGATATTCACACATGGATTGTAAAACTAGTGTTGTAAACAAAATTTCTTTTTACCAAGAGTCATTTGAATTAGAATCTTTAACTTTGTTGTTTTGATGACTGTTTTGGCATATATTCTCACCTTCCAACATTGCATCTCGTAAAACTCCTTAATTTCTTTTTTTTTTTTGACTCTTGTTAACTATTTTTGTTCTTTTTTTCCTCTTCCTTATATTTTTCATATTTTTTTTTTGGCTTTCTTATTCTTTGTACCGCCTGTTAATATTTTTCATTCTTCTTTCCTCATGCAAATTTTATCAATTTTTTCCTACTTAGTAATATTTTTCATTCATTTTTCCTCTTGGTAATATTTTTCATTCTTTTTTTTTCCCCACTTGTTAACATTTTTCATTCTTTTACATCATGATAATATTTTTCATTCATTTTTTTTTTTTTTGCTTTCTTATTCTTTGTGCCCCCTGTTAATATTTTTCATTCTTCTTTCCTCATGCAAATTTTATCAATTTTTTTTCTCTTAGTAATATTTTTCATTCATTTTTCCTCTTAGTAATATTTTTCATTCATTTTTCCTCTTAGTAATATTTTTCATTCATTTTTTTTTTTTCCACTTGCTAACATTTTTTTGTCTTTTTTGCCTCTTGCTAACTTTTTTCACTCATTTTTCTTCTTGCTAACATTTTTCATTCTTTATTTTCTTTTGGTAATATTTTTCATTCAGTTTTCCTCTTGGTAATATTTTTCATTCATTTTTTTCCATTTGCTATTTTTTTTCTTTTGGTTCTTTTTTTTCCCTTGCTAAGTTTTTTCTTTATTTTTCCTGAGAATGAAGAAATATGACAACTAGCCAAAGTTAATTTTTTTTAAATTCCTCATAAGGCAATAAAATCAGAACAATAACCAACAAAATAATCAAATAAAAACTTGTGTTTTGGATTCTAAATGGATAATTTTATTAAAAACCTTGTAGATTGCCTCAAAGACCATTCATAGTGAGTGATGAGTTTCATCTTTAATGGTTATCTTAAGAATTGCATCAGACTAAGTAGAGTAAAATACTTTATGAGCTTTTTGTTGTGGGGTAATATTTAGTGAGTTGCAGTTGCAGATTATGGTGCAGGGTGTTTGATCATCACTGGGTGCTCCACACTTGTAGCCTTGGTCCAGCTGAAGCTAAAATTAGTAAATATCAATTGTCATAAACCTTTGTCCCTACCTGATCATCATTTCCATTTTCACTGACTCTTGAAGAAAGCCTTGACCTGGAACGACTTGGAACAATTGTCCCATCATTTATTGTTCTGTTGAAACTTTCACAATGGCTATTCAGTTCCTGAAATAATGAATAGAAAAATTCAAATTGGAAATTCAACAATTGTTTTTTTTTATTTATTGGTTGAATAAAAAATATTCAGACTAAATTTCAAATATGTGTTTGCAATCTAAAGAGGACAGTTTAAAGTGCATTTAATTTCTTGCTGAGATGTATATTATTTTAAGTTTATTAGATTAACACTTTCTGTTTCTTTTGACAATAAATTGTTACAGACAGAATTTACCATCTTCTTATACTATGGTTAACTCAATACAAGGTTCAAGAGCCACTTATGGTAGAGGGTTACTAAATGCAAAAGGAGGTAGAATGAAGTGAAAATCATGAGGATAGACTGTGATTGACCTTTAACTTGAAAAAGTTAAGATTGTTATGTTCATGGAATCAACCATTCAGGAGTTTGTTCCAGAGAGTAACAGGAAAAAGCTGTCTGAGTGGAACTTCCTCCTTACAAATGGAATATGGAAGAAATGAGAGTGACTCAACTCTGTAGACATAGAAAGGTGAGTCCTAACTGTAAAGGTCTGAACTGGTAGAACCAAAGAAGGGAGCTTACCTGAACATTTGCTATGGAAAGAACAATAGAGTTAGTGATAAGCTTACAACACTATGACTTTGGGGAAAGAGGATGTAGAGTAGAAAATAAGTCATCTCCTACAAGACCTCATAGGCTGGAAAGTGAGAATTGGGTAACTCAAGCACAAAAATGACTGCAATACTCTATTTTTAGCCTAATCAGATTCTTGTAAAGATAAAGCATGTCAAGAAGAATCAAGCACTTTCTGGGGCACCACAAAAAGCTGATCACTTTTCCTGCATCTTAAGCAATGGATTGGATATATGATTTCAACTTGTGATCTGGAGCCTCATTGAGAATGCAAATGTTCATTGTGACAGGAGAAAGCTTGGGAATGAATAAATGAGTGTGCGTTTGATAGACTGCTCATTTTATCTTCATCTAAATTAGGCCAAATTATTTGCTGCTTAAATAGAACTGTACAACAGATAATTAACTACAAGTTTTTTTTTGCTCTGAAACATGAAAACTCTCAGTAAAATTAAACTTAATTTTTACGTTCATTATTTTTGTATTAACTGTGCAACCAATAATAGCAAAGGTGGGATTTATGGGATTAGCATAATGTGTGTATGTAAGTGCACCACATGGCTGTGTGAAATTAAGAAGTTGGCTTGCAATGAAACTAATCCTTCTTGAAGGGGAAGACTTGACACATTTTCTACCTACCATATAATGCAACAAAAAAGAGCAAAGAGATATATAGTCTTTTATAGTCCTGAATAAACTGCCACTACGTAGGTGTCCTGTCACATAAGGTATGTTAATTCCACTCTCAGATAAAAAATGAATACAAGTTGACAGTATACAGACAACCTATTGACAGGTTGATTCAGTGGGTTAGGTAGAAATGTAATCTGTGTGTAACAGTTGCCAAAGGCCTTGGTATATGCATTAGTACAGATAATAAAGACTTTTTTGATTTTTTTTAATTGAATTTTTAAAAAAAGCAAAAATATATTTGTTTTATTTAACCTTTTCATTCAGACCTGTGCTTAGTTACAGGTGTTGTTTTTTTTATGTTAACATCTTTGATCATCTATCGGCTTTTAAAGGCCCCATTACTGAGAACTTAACTATTATAGACTGTACTCTTTTTAAATTTAACACGCTGTATCACTATTAATAATAAATCTTACATTATCATTATTGTTGCTATTTATTTATTGAAACCAGTTTGTAGTTACACTTTGTGATGATTTCCACTGAATGAGACAATCACAGTATGAACTGTTTGGGAACTTTTGGATGAAAAAATATTAACTAGTTAAAAATTAATAATAATGACATGCATTCTAGTTTTCTAATCATTTCACCCGTAGCAAGGTGATAAAGCCACTAAGACACAAGGGATCACAGAGGATGAAAGACAATAGAGTGAAGGAAAGTAAGAAAACAATATGGAAGAGAAAGAACAATAAAAAGAACAGGATTCATGAAGGGAGATGATAATTATTGATGTTACATTTAAACTCAACCTAAAACTCAAATGGAACACACACACATATATATATATATATATATATATATATATATATATGATCCCTGACTAAAGATACTGGAAAAATAGTAGGTTCCCCTCTACTGTTACAGTAAGTACCTGACTCCTGCTATACTCTACCTTTACATGTCGCATACCTACATTCGATAATGGGTATGCCGCCATTCACATAAATAGAGTAGTGAATATGGTATGTGTGGGTCTGCAATCTGCAGTTGGAGATTCATTGTGGAATTCACTTGACTCACTTCTAGCAGTTGACTAGTTCTTCTATGTGCCACTGGCGAATCTTGTATGTGTTGTTCTTGTCCTAAGTATTATCGTTCATTACCAACCTTTGTGCGATTATTCTATTCAGTAACCTTCCCTAGGTTAAAACAAGAGCCAGATCAAGACGAAAATGGAGTACTACTGTCATATTTGGGCAGGAACTACCCTGTCTTCACTTACCAGTCTTGATAGAGTCCCAAAACATCTCCTTGTCCTTGTGGGTGATGAATTATTTTCCACCCTACAATCCCTTTCCCATAGAAGAAATGTCACTAAATTCTCACTGCTCTATTGCTATTTCCATGGAAAATGTTCAGACAAAATACATTCCTTAGTTCCACCACTTGTAACCCCCATGGCTAAGACCCAACATGCAGTGAACTGCCCTCATTCCCTTTGTATTCAATTGGTGAGATGTAAGTTCCACTTGTGCAGCTTCTTCCCATGAACTGCTGCTTTGCAGAAATGACTCCCAAGATGATGTTTTATTGACCAGTACAATATTAATCTGTTCAAGTCTAGGATCAACCATTATCTTCCCCCATAACCCCATAAACTATGCCTCTTACTCTGTAACCCTCTACTTTGAGTAGCTCTTGGGCCTTGTGAACATCACTGTAAAAAAATGTTTGTAGATTGTCATTGACATGAAAGCAAGAAGCTGGAAAAGAGTTCATAGGTGAGAAGTGCAAGAGAAAAACATTAGTAGAACTTACAGTTATATTTAGCAAATTCAATAGTAAAATGATGACACTAACTGGCACTATAGTACTATGCTTAACACATTGACTGTCAACCATGAGATAACTTCTGGTTGGCAAGTTTTATTATGATGCCAACCACAAATTAGCCTGTGCTTGGCATTTTCTGATAGATTTATCATATGTAAGTGGACACCAACAACAAGTATATTTGAAGTGATGCTTTTAGTGTGAAAACAATATTATGACTTCAGCTGAAACTATACATTTACTCATAAAATTATTTTATTGCCTAAGTTGGCTATTATAAAGTTGGCATTTTGAAATTGACCTCTGGCAGTCAACTTGTCAAATTAGTGAAGTTGAGGTATCAAAGATTGATTTGTTTTTTACAACTTATCAACCCTTTTTTCAGGTTATTTAAAACCAGAAAATATTTTTAGAATGCAAGAATTTTTTTTTAGATAATTATGGTTTTAGTAATACAAGTCTTACTAATTACCCAATAACTGGGGGAGAAGAGGCGGATTTATACCTTTCCCAAGGGTGTTTGTGTATAAATGAATATAACAAATCCAAACAGAACTGGCTCTCCAATTATCAATTCCAAGCCATTATCCATTACACCACCTGCGCATCCAAACTTACAGCACCAGGTATTCCAAAATGGTCACCCATCTAGGTACTGACGAGGCTCAACATAGCTTAACTTTATTTGTAGAAAATTACGTCTTGGTTCTGATTTCAAAACCTACCTCTGCAAGGAGATTATCATCTTGCAATTGAGATTGTTTAATCTTGGATCGTTGTCTTATGCATTTTGTGGCCTTTTCTGATTTTGTGTTCCACACATATATTTCCCCATTGTATGCTCCTGTAATGAGCGTATTTGGTGAGGAAAATGCCAGTGAAAGAATATCATCTGTATGATTCTGTAAAAGAAATAAAAAAATAAAAGATTATTTTTTATTGCTGTGGAATTTTAAAAATGAATATAGACTTTCTTGTGTAGAGAGATAACATTGAGAACTAGATTACAAAAAATTCAAAACAACCAACTTTATGGTGACTAACAAAACATCAACACACACAAAAATTGTCTAAAGGCTAATGATGCATACCAATTCTCTTCTTAGGAAACTGTGTCATTAATAAAAAAAAATCAGCCTATATTGGTCACATGACATTTCTATCAAGAAGATTAAACTGTTCCCTCTCTATGTAAAGTGTCATAATCTTTTAAAACCTTGTATTCTACATTCAACATCATCACTTGATAAGACACCAGAGGTGTTGAAACAAAATGGCTATTTTTGAAGTGATTTTATAACATATTTATGTTAGAATTTTAAATAAATAATTATATATATATATATATATATACATATAAATATAGATAACTAGACTCGTTTAAAACCCTCGAATTTTGATTTTCTAATCAAATCAATCTCGAGGGAAAAAAAAGTTTTAAAAAAGAAAAGAGCTACAAACATGGACTTCTGCCAACAAAAAAATCGCACAGATGCAGGTCTGAAGCCCAAAGAAAAAAACCCGATACGAGTAACAACTAACTAACAAAAGAGCTCAATACAACCGTAGAGCAGACCTAGATACACCTAGTGAGCCAGACAAACCTACCTAGGTTTCACCTAAACGGATCATCAGGAAAGTTTGGCTTCCTGACGATCCGCTTAGGTGAAACCTAGGTAGGTTTGTCTGGCTCACTAGGTGTATCTATATATATATATATATATATATATATATATATATAAACATTTAACACAAATCCACAGGACCCACTTCTAATTTCCATAAAATTCTAATCAACAATGCAACAAAAAAAAAAACAATTAAAAATTTTGGAGACACTTTATATCAGAAGGCAGCAATCCACCATCAATAAAACTTGTTTTAATCTTGGTAAGCATTGTTAAGATACCATTTGAACTACAAGGTCATTTTAGTCACATGATGCAAAAAAAAAATCTATTTCACCTCATATCATGTAAATTCACATTCATTTCAAACGCAAAACCATTGACAACATAAATATTCCACTGGCTATCTCTTGATTTCTAACTTCTTTCTTTGAAAAATAACCAATGATGGTGAAAAGTAATTGGAACATTATATACAATTTCAGCAATTTGAACTACCTTCACTCCTCGGCAATGTTAATTTTTTGAAAAGTGATTAGTATTTTAATAAAATCTAAACATATGAAAGTGAATTTATACATTTTTTTTTGTTTTTGAGAATTGATAATAAAAATAATAAACACTATTAGATCGTTTATTTACGAGAATAATTTTATATTTACAACAATCTAAAATCTTATATGATTGTATTAAAACTAATGCAATGCAATACTTATCATTTAGTAATAATTAAATATGAAAACAATTTTTTATTCATAAATTTATAAACATTTACTAAATTATTAAAATATGTAAACCAACCTTAAGGAAACCCTTATTATTTACCATTTTATAAAGTTCAAACTGATTGGTAATTAGCCAATGTGTTACCAACTATCCCAATAAACAATACAATAAAAAAATAGCGTAAATAAACAATCTAAAAAATAAATAATGTTTATTATTTTTATTATCAATTGGCAAGAACAAAGAAAATGTATAAATTCACTTTCATATGTTTAGGTTTTATTTTATGTAACCAAGGAACAACGGTAATTAAAATAATAGCAGTATCAAGAGAAAAACCATCCTTTTAACACACCACTTTTTTCAGCACGAAGATTAAAGATTTCTCCTTGTCTTTTCTAATAAATAGAAAATGTTTAAAGGAATTCAGGTGAGTATGCCAGGTGTAGAAAAGACTATGGAACTAGCACTGAGGATGCTCACTTAGGTTTTGTTTTTTATTTAGCAGTAAATAAACTAATAACAGATAAGACACAAAACATTTTTATTTAATAGCTAAACTTTCTGATTTCATAAAACAAATGTGGAGAAGCACCAGATTTTCTTATTAATATTTACTTCAGAATAAGGAAACATAATCAAAGATATAAACAAATAACATGTTTATTTAATTGATTTCTACTGGGGCAAATCCTTTATAAATCAAGATGGTAAAAGTTTGTTCAGCTACATAGTTTACAAGTCAGACTTTGATAGTAGTCATCATCTTGTTGGTGGCTGTCAGGAGTGTGGTCACTTTGGAAACATGCGGTGTTAGTCTGCTGTGTGTTCTTGGCCCTCAAAAAGGGCGAAAAAATGTCTTAAGCAGAAGACCACTTAGTTCTTCACACAACACGCTCAGGCCAGTTTCTGACTGTCTCCTCTGCTGCTGTCTGTTGGCTGTCTCTTTATATACAATTTTGAAAGGCTCCAGACTACTTGGTGCAAAGCTTGGTTTTGGCTAACATTAAAAGTCTCTTTGTTTTTTTTGACTGGTCAATATTCCTTTATTTATTTTCCAGCATTGTTTTTTCTATAGCAGAATCTATGTTAGAAGCCTCTCTTGTTTTGGTAGATTTTTAGTCATATAACCAGACCCTGGACTTGCGAATTTCCATTTCATAGCAGTTGTTCTTCTTTTCTTCTTCCACTTTTTATATGAGAGTTGCCTTCTCATTAGTTGAGAGAGAAGGGTAGATTGACAGAGTAAAAGAGATATGGGTTTTTAAGGAAAGCAAATGCCTTATTTTAATTTTCATTTTTTTTTAATATTTTATGTTCATATTTTATTTTTACATTTGGGCACACCATATATACCTTAAAGAAACTAGATTCAATTATTTAAATTAATGGTATAATTCTTTTTTTTTTTTTCAAAGTTATATAGAGGAAAATATTATGGGATAACCCAATGTTGACAAAAAAAAAATGAAATGATCTTGTAATTTGATTCTTAAAACAAATAAAAACAGAAGCCTAGATATGCAAATTGGACAAGAGTCAAAATAGAATTGCAAATAGAAATAAGGACAAATAAATTTTTTCCTTTAAATCATGAGCCACCCAAACATCATAGTGATTTAAAATCCAAGTGTTTTCAAATGCTTTACAACAATCATAGAATATATATATGGAGTGGCTCTGCAATGCAGTATATTATATGATTAGAATTATTTTTAATCCGCATTTCAATTTGGTCCTTATCAGTGATTGCAGACCTACTGGAATGTTCTTGGTCTTCCAGATCAAAATTTCCACTTCTGATCTTAGTGAATCACTTAACAAACATTACTCTCAGCTATGGCACCATTTCCATAAATGGCACATATCTTTTTTGCTATTTCTACAGCATTTTTTCTTTTGTAAAAATAAAAGAGCGTCAAATGATTAAAATTTTCTTCCATTTTCACTTTTAACATTAAGCCTTTAACGTTCACAATCCACACACACGCCATATAGAAAAATGTATTAGGAAATCACCTTTCAGGATATGCACATGTCAAATATTACAACCATGTGTGAAGCAAAATTATGTATTCAATTGCCACCTATTGAAGAATGCTACAAACTATTGATCCAACCCAATATGACAACTTGTCTGATTTATCTCCCTTGAAAAGTGTCACGTTGGAAGAAAGTATTTTGAAAGCAAATTGATTTTTTTTCAGAGGAATTATTTTCTTATCATGAATTAAAATGGAAGACATTTGTACTCACATCAGTTCCTTTCCATTCGCTGGGATAAACAACATGGTCTTTGAAATCTGAATCACGGAAAATGGTCAGGAACCTGAATGGTAGGCATAATAAGAAATTCAGTTTTAAAAAATGTTTGGTTCTGAATAAACTAACACTCTTCCATCTCTTACTCTGGCTCCTCTTTTTTATTGCTATGATTAATAGGAAAATTCAATAACAGAACATTTAACAGTAATAACTTTTATTTATCTATAAATAGGTAGATAAATGCTTAATAAACATAGATAAATGCTGAATAGACATAGTGTTGTAATGGAAAGTCCAACTCTCCCTAGTGCCTATTGTGGACTGACTATATCACTAGATATATATATAGTGAGCACAGGATATACCTAGCAGACTTGCTTTGGGAATTAGTTGGAGATTCGTCTCCAGCTGAGCTGGTCCAACTCTCTGCCTTTAGGCAGAGAGGAACCCAGACGAGGCTATGCCAAAAGGCAGAGTCTCATCTGGGGTGGCAGACAGCTACCTGATCCCATTTTTTACAGGGTCTATGGGGAATTTTTGCCCGAGCCTACGAGCTCGGATACCACATGTTAAATTCAGCCTTGTGCCACATCTGACCTTGTGGGGCGGTTGGCAAATATCCTTGCTTTGGGAATTACTAGCTTGCTAACCAATTCCATGTCTTTCAGTAGTGTATTCTCTTTTACAATAAACCTCTCTTACGTGTTGCTGTTCCTTCCACTCAAGTACCACCTTTGACTGTTTATAACCTTCTTTAAGGATACAACAGATAGATATGAACAGACTGGAACACAGAGATATGATCTGAATGAGATAGAATTAAATTGTAAATATACAATGTGAAAAGGTCCTCACTGGGTGCCCCATACTTTTGGCCTTGTGCCACATCTAAGCTACGCTTGGAAAATCACTATACAATGTGAAAAGGTAATGCTCTGAGCTTAAACTGGCCTGAGCTTAAACTATCTTTTTTTGGAGGGAGGAAAGAAGACATTATGAACAAAGGCAAAAAGAAAGTTATAAAAAATTAAAGATGAAAATTTTCTTTTCTTTCCTTTAAAGAAATTCTCTTAAGGAATCATAAAAGTGACAAAAATTTAAAACCAAATCATCATCTCATTTTGATTGCAAGATTCTTGCAAATAAATTGTTTGATTTTATTGTGGTACTTACCTGCTCCATCCAACAACCAATACACATCGCTTTAGTATAAAAACTTGACCTATTTCTGCAGGTTGCCCACCTGCACAAATCAGTGTGTGGTAGCAATGCCCATTAAAATCCCACACCTGAAAAAGGAATGAACAACTGTTTCTTATTTTTGAACATTTTAAATTTGATTTCTCTTTTGGCTCTTAAATTATAAGGGGTGACTTGCAAACATTTACCTTTCTTTGCCATCTTGTACTTGAACCAAGATTATATCAATACCAGTTGTTTTATCACCAGATTTATTCAAATTTTACTGCAAGGTGATCCTGGGAGAACTAGATATCCTACCAGGATTTATTATTGGCAGATACAATCTTAACAATAGAAGATATGACTCTGTGAAGTTAACAGACACAGAAAGGAAACTGCAGAAATAGAAAATAAGAAGAAAAGACTTAAATATTAATTGTAAGAAGTCAGAATGTATGGTTGCTAGCAAAATGGACAGCCCAAGATGTGAACTACAAACTGGGGATTCCAAAATCAAGCAAACATAAAAATTGAAATATCTGGAAAGTGTTTTAACAACCTTCGAAAAGCTAAGCATGGGAAAATTTCATTAGAAACAAAGAAAAGAGTGATAAACTGTTATGTGATATCAGTCCTCATATATGACAGTGAATGCTGGAAAATCACATCACAGATGAAGTACAGACATGAGGCAACAGAAATGTGGTTCTACAGAAGGGTGCTGAGAATTCCATGGACTGAACATTTGAGAAACAAGTAAGTTTTAATAAAATGGAAAGAAAAAGGACATTTATACTTAGAATCAGAAAGAGGAAGTTGAAATTTCTAGGACTCATATTGAGGAAAAAAAGGCTCGACGAATTTGACACTCACAGAACATATTAAATGCATGAGGAAAAGAGAGAATCAGTAAGTAACATAGCTAATGAGTTTGTATAAATGATTGATAGAACAGGAACTGGGGGAGGATGGTGAAAAAAAAAACCTTACTATGAGGTACAAAAGTTAGGAAGTTGTGGAGAGCCATGATTTCTCAAGTCTTGAAGGGTCACAGCACATAGAAGAAGAAGGTATAAAAAGGTGGGGAAATTTTTTTAAGTTTATGACTTTGTGGAATGCATGAACTCATAATAATACCTGTGACTTGTTTTCCAAATACAAGGCCCAAGATCCACTCAAGGTAGAGGGTTACTGTGTGGTGTGGTATGAATCTAAGAAAAATCAAGAGGTGAAGTACATGGAGTTACGTAGGAAAAATAACAGTTAACCCAAAACTTGAAGAGGTCAAGATTGAGAAAACATCCTCTTGGAAATCTGTTCCATAAAACAGCAGTTCTTGGGAAGAAACTGTCTAAGTGAAAGTTATTTCTTACTAATTGAATACGAAAGGGAATTAGGATGATTCATCCTTGTGTACATAACATAACGGGTCCAAGCTGCAAAGGTCAGGGTTGGTGGAACCAAGGAATGTAGCTCATCAGGATACATATAGGAGTAGCGATAGAGTAGCAAGAGGTTCCCCCTATTCTGTGGGAAAAGAGTTGTAGACTGGAAAGTAATTCATTACTCACAAAGCAGTGTAGATGCTTTTGAACTTTATCAAGACAGGCAAGTGAGGACTAGGCATTTCCATGTTGGTTTTATCATCTAATCTTTTCCTTAAGAGACAAACCTCATAATTACTGTAAACCAGAAAAAATTACTGAAATCTATTGCAATTAAATTATGTCATTTCATATGTAAACTATATTTTCTATATCAAAGGGTTAAAAAAAAAAAAAAGAAGCTCTCAGTGGTAACAGAGGATTCATTTTTCCAGTAATGATAAAATAAAAATTCAGATGTTTTACCATTTAAAAAAATGTTTGTCTTATTTGAATTTTGTTAGGTAACAAGTTTTAATCATTATCTAAGTCAGTTTTGATTAAATTTTTCATTTTTTTTTTTTTTTTTTTTTCATAATGAAGAAAGAGGGCTTGGAGAATTTGACACTCACAGGCCATATTGAAACCAAGAGTAGCAGAGTGAAACAGAGTGTAATCTACGTGACGAGATTGTGTAAATGAATAGTAGAACATGAACTGGGAGGGATGATAAGAAGACAAATATTGCTTAGAGTTAAAAAGAATTTTAAAGCTCTGGTGAGCTATAATCGCTCAAGTCAATGTCAATATGGCACATAAAAGAAGAAATTTTAAATTTAACATCATCAATACACGCAACGATTTAAGTACCAAGGGAGATAACTCGCTTAAAAAATATTTGCAGTAATCTCCCTTGAAAAGCTTTCCGCTTATTTCTTTTTTTATTTATATACACAATTTTTTTGCAAACCTAAACACGAGAATTGTAAAACCATCGAATTTCGAGGTTAACAACCAAAACTCATAATTTAATTAAATATGCAGTCATTTATGATTCTAAATATAAACGATATAAGTATAAATGAAGTTCAGTGGTTATTATATTTTTGTGTATTTAGGCAGCAATCTTACTTTCATGCATGTCTCATTGAATATGACAGACAAGGTGCTTTGATTTAATTTTTTATACAATTTCTCATGTGATCTTTTAATTTTTTTTTCTTTTCAGAGGATAAATTATATAAAAACTGTCCAATTGTTCTTTCTGAGCACTTTTGGCTATACATTTAGCCATTTTCAAGGTTGAAATATATTAACTGTTAACAAGAAATAGATTGCTGTGCTCTCTCTCACTCTCTCTCTCTCTATATATATATATGAATATGATGATAAAAAAAACATATGTATATGCATATATATATATATCTTTTCACACATGTTAAAAAACAGCACTCATTGTTATATAATAGACCTATTAAGTATATATTAGTGAATATACGTAATATACCAAGTTGAAAGCACAACTCAGTTTCATGCAAACATGCAATCTTGTTTGCATGAACCTCTGAGTTGTGCTATTGATGTGGGATATTATACATATTCACTAATATATATATATATATATATATATATATATATATATATATATATATACAAAAAAACATGCATACACATTGCATCGAGGGGAGACTACTACTACAAATTATTATTTTTTTATTTTAAAAAATGCTGGCAAGTACCATATTTCCCTGTCATTTTAAAATACACTGAAGGAAAAATTGCCAAAGATTGAATATGTGTTTCATTCTACTCAGAACTAAATAGGCAGGTACGATAGCTGGATTAAAATCCAGCTATTGTACCTACACAGGTTCCATAATAAGGGGTTTATCAACAATACCCAGATTCCATATAAATAGACTGTATATTTTCTATGGGCATTACCAAAGGTCTCTATAACATAGATGGCAAATACCATCCTGTGATATATTTCATACTTCTTGCACCTCTTGAAGCAATACATGAATGAATCATTTGCCATCTCATCATGTCACATATATGTTCAATGTGGAACAGGTCTGATGATATTGTGAGCCAGGAAAATTATAGAATCTTGCAGAACATGTTGAGTAGTACAGGCATCATATGGGCAGGCACTATTCTGCTGGTGAGTGCATTATATTCCTGTTAAAGGAATGGTAACAGAATAGGCTGAACAATGTTCTGGATATGCTTAGCACAGTTTAATGTTCTATCAATAAGGTCAAATCAAATAGTAATTAGCCGATGTTTTGTAAACCATTCCAGTAAAAAATATAATAAATAAATAGCATTTATTATTTTTGTTTTAAATTCACAAGAGCAAAGAAAATGTACAAATTCACTTTCATGTGTTTAGGTTTTTAAAACAATAAATATTGCCGAAGAGTGAAGGTAGTGAAAATAAAAGCAATGTCATGGTAAAAACCGTCCTGTTTGTAAAATAACCGCAACAACAATGGTAGTAGTAATTCTGAATTACTTTATTTTTGGACCAATGAGATACAAATACAAAAATAACTTTGGTTTGACCACTCAGCTGTTTATATAAAACCAGAGGAGGTAACTTCTCTAGTGTCTGGCTGTAGAAGTTCCCCATTATCTAAGGAGAACTTCCATTTCTACTCTACACAGTTGACACTCCTATTTTTTACAAGCACAAAGGTCCATGTTTGCCGTATATATGGTGATGGAAGAATATATCAGAAAGTCTCTCTTATATCCTTTATAAAGAAGAGGGCCATGTTTGAAGAAAACCACCAAAGCAATACACCCACATATGCCAATATTAACTGACATTGTGGGAAGAGAAGAGAGGAGATTAAACAATTCTATGCATTTAAATTTTAGTCTCATCTTCTTATTAGTCTTTACAATGGTAATGTTATATATATATATATATATATATATATATATATATATATATATATATATATATATATATATATTTTTGTGTGTGTTTTCTCAAATACACAGTCCGGGAAGATGAAGATTATAAAACCAGTATTATAAATAATACTGGTATCCACTAAAAATATCATTAAAAAAATATGTATGATTAAAAAATAAAATCCATTAATTCTTAAGAAATTGATTTATGTTTCCGATATGAAACTGAGCAGGTATGGCGATTGAGAAAATCTTAACAAGTGAATATGTGTTAAGATGAAGGGAACCTTGTTTAACTTTAAAGCACTCCATAACCAAGAGATCAAAGCGTGCTGAATCAAACAGTGATTGCTTCTGTGCCAAATTATTAAAACACCGACTGATAGAATAAACATTTTAATAAACTTCTTATTAACATATTAAAAAATGGAGTGTATACTCAAATATGGCTATCTGCACTCCATTTTTTAGTGGAAAAAATTTTCTTGTGATACACTTCATCCTTTAGGATTTCATCGGACTAAATTTGTTACGTTGGTGTGACTACAGATGCATATAAATGAGGGATGCTGTGGATTTTAAATTTAAATTTTTTTTATAATCCAACCAATCTAATCAATTAGATTCTTTTTCTTTTTTTTTACATCAATTTTGTTAGTAGATATTAATAATTTTCAACCAAAGGATGTCTAATGAGTTTGTAAGATGAAACAGTATTTACAATTATATCTATTATTCAGTGGAATTTGTGCTGGGAAATGATTGATTATAATAAAAAAAAAAAGGATGAAAAAATGTCTGTATTGTTTACCTTGACAGTTCCATCTGTTGCTCCTGTGTACAATCGATGAGTGTCATCTTTCAGAGTTAAACACATAACTTCAGCCTTATTATGAATGTTATTCAGTTGTTTGACCTTCTGACCACTGTCCACCATCCAAAATGTCATAACACCACACTGACTGACACTGACCACCTACACAAATAATTGAAAGAACATTAATACATTGTAATAGATTTTAGTAGTTGATTATAATAAATAAGGCAATACCCAATCTTTCTATCAATTCTCAGTCTATTCACATCTATCTATCTATGTTAGTCTGTTCAAATATCTATCTTAGTCTGTTCATATCTATCTATCTATCTATCTATCTATCTATCTATCTATCTATCTATCTATCCATCCTAATCTCTTTATACCTATCTATATCAGACTGTTCATTATCTATCTCAGACTGTTCATTATCTATCTCCTTTTATATCTTCATCTATCTATCTATCCACAACCTGTTTTCTATCTATCTATCTATCTATCTATCTATCTATCTATCTATCTATCTATCTCAACCTGTTCATATCTATCTATCTATCTAAGTTTGTTCATATCTATCTAAGTTTGTTCATATCTATCTATCTATCTATCTATCTATCTATCTATCTATCTATCCTAATCTCTTTATACCTATCTATACCAGACTGTTCATTATCTATCTCAATCTGTTCATATTTATCTACCACAATCCTTTTATATCTATCTATCTATCTATCTATCTATCTATCTATCTATCTATCTATCTATCTCAACCTGTTCATATCTATCTATCTATCTATCTATCTATCTATCTATCTATCTATCCCAGTCTATCTATCTATCAGTCTGTTTGTTCATATCTATCTATCTATCTATCTATCTCAGTCTGTTCATATCTATCTATCTATCTAAGTTTGTTCATATCTATCTATCTATCTATCTATCTATCTCAACCTGTTCATATCTATCTATCTATCTATCTATCTCAGTCTGTTCATATCTATCTATCTATCTATCTATCTCAGTCTGTTCATATCTATCTATCTATCTATCTATCTAAGTTTGTTCATATCTATCTATCTATCTATCTATCTATCTATCTATCTCAGTCTGTTCATATCTATCTATCTATCTATCTATCTATCTATCTATCTATCTATCTCAGTCTGTTCATATCTATCTATCTATCTATCTATCTATCTATCTATCTATCTATCTCAGTCTGTTCATATCTATCTATCTATCTATCTATCTATCTATCTATCTATGTTTGTTCACATCATCTATCTATCTATCTAAGTTTGTTCCTATCTATCTATCTATCTATGTTTGTTCATATCTATCTATCTATCTATCTATCTATCTATCTATCTATCTATCTATCTATCTATCTATCTATCTATCTCAACCTGTTCATATCTATCTATCTATCTATGTATCTAAGCTTATTCAGATCAATTTATCTGTTATAACCTAAGAAAAGGTTACTGAATAAGAATAAACAAAACGAAGGGTGGAAATGAAACGGTAATCTTTATAACATTAACAACATACAAGATTCATCAGTGGCGTGTAGTGGTGAACTAGGGGGGGATGCCCCAGACAGTATATTCGACAGTATTTATGAGGATTGGGACATACCCCTTATAGTCCATAGATACAGTATAACACTATCACAATCTGCTCTTTATCTATCTATATATTTCTTTTTTAATCATTTCACTCCAAGTAAGACAATAATGCCACTAGGATGCAGGAGATTTCAGTGAGTGAATGAGGAGGAGAAGCGAGGAAAAGGACAATAAAGGAACAGGATTTGGGAAGATAAAAGATGATGACTGGCATTGCATTTAAGTAGCAAGAAATCAGTAGGTAATTCCCCAGGTGAGAGAAGAAACTATTAGAATAGTTGGTTGCATGTAGCTAGTTCAACAGTGAAATGGTGAGACCTAGTAACCAATCTAGTAGAACACTTAAAACCATGCAGTTGAGCTACCGAGGAGGAGAGCTCATTAGAAAAATTGCCATGAAAATATTTGTAAAAAACAGAGGGGAGCCACATTATGTCAGTGGGAAAGTTAAGATGCCAGGTCAGGATCAATTACATTATAGACCGTTCTTTGGATTTTGTCAAGAATCTTCAGATGTAAAGCAGGAGCACCAGACTAGATATGGCACCAGTATTGAGTGCATGGACAAATGGTAGATTTATAAATTTTTTTTTTTTTTTTTTTTTTACAGTGATTAAGGAAATGTGAGCCCAAGAAGGTATAAAAAGTTGCTCTCCTGGCGGTTAGCATCAGCCATGCTGATGGCAGGCAGGAAAGGGTCTCTATGGTGATTAAATGAAAACAGTTTTGTCTTGGAGGCATCCCGTACAAACCTGGGAGCTACTCAAGATAGAGGGTTACAGAGTAAGGGGCACAGTTTATGGGGATATATGGGGAAGGTAACAGTTAATCCTAGACTTAGATTATAGTAATTGGGAAAACACCCTCTTGGAAGTTGGTTCCACAGTGTAGCGGTTTGTGGGAAGTTGTTTTAGTGGAACTTACATCTCACAAATAGAATACAAAGGGAATGATGGTGGTTTGCTACAATTTATGCAGCATGGTGGGTTTTGCAGTGAAAGGTAGAACTGGTGGAACTAAGGAATATAGTTCACCTGAACATTTTCCATGGAAATAGGGATGGAACCTTTGAGAGGCTTGCAATGTTTCATCTGTGGGAAAAGGAGTTACAGGGTGGAAAATAATTCATCACCCACAAGGATGCAAATGAAAACACTTTTGAATTCTATTGAGTGGGAATTGAAGACTCAGCAATTCCTGTCCATATATTTCAGCAGGACTTCATTTTAGTCCTGATCTGGCTCTTGTAAAGATAGAGGATAGTAGGAGGGTTACTTATTGGAGTGGTACAGGGAACCACAGTGGAGTAATCGCTAGCAGCTCGGATTGAGGAATCGGAGAGCTGAGTTCAAATTCCAGTTGAATCCATTACATTCACTTACGTGCCAATATCCTATAGGTAAATAGCACGACAGGCCAGGTTTTATAGCCTTGGATGGCAACTGGTCTACCGCAGCGTTGAAACTTGACTAATGCATGGAATAATAATGCAACACACAAGGTACTTAGAACAAAATGTATTGAAACAAGAAAGTGTACACAATATTTACATATAGTCTTTTGTATATTCCTGGTAAGACCGTTCCTGGAGAATGTGTTGACTGAGTCGCAGTAGGGCAGAGTCACGGGTTGAATCTCTTGATTCCTCCCTCTCTTCCTGGTACCAACCATATTTATATGGTCGGTATTCCACTATGCAAATTAGGTGGATCCTACCACAACATGCAGAAAGAAATGGCAACCTACTGCGGGAGAAAAAACAATCTGCCTCGTCACTCATATATCAAAAGATACATGATTGCCTAAGTGTGTATCACACATGGCACATAACTGACTGACTGAATTCTGGCTCTTATAAAGTCAGAGGCTATCAGGAGGAGTCAGGTACTTATTAGAGCGGTACAGAGAACCAGGCATTTTTCTAGCATCTTTGGTGATGAATTGTATGTACAAGCTCCACTTGAGGTTTTGGGTTTAGTTTATATCTCAATATGCATGGAGCCTCCCCGAGGGAACATTCATCGTGATTTGTGATAGTTCAGTGTCTGACCGAAAATGATAGAATATAATTAATTTGATTTTCAAGGCACTGAATGGGACCAGCCAGTTTTTCCCTTTTTGATTTTCAAGACACAGACTATTAACAAATTAGCTCCACAAGTATCTTCAGATTATTCACATTCAGACTAATATCCTCATCTTTGTTGTTGCTACCACAACATTTGGGCTGTTGTGCTCTCCAACCTTTTTCAGGTGTCTGTCAATCCAGGTAACCTTCAAAGAATTTTGAACTAAGTTACTTGAATCAACAGATACCTGAAGTAGACTGGAGGGTATAATAGCTAAAATATTGGGATAATAACAAAAAAGATGAAGATATTAGTCAAGGTGTTTCATCCCAGAAATCCAGAGAGAAATAAGTTTTGATAAAATTTAGAATATCATTATTGGAATTCATTATAATAAAAAATTCAAAGGTTGCATGTTGACGTCTATCATATATGTGCATGTTCACAATTAAATTTATACTATGGACCGTTTATTCTTTTTTTTTTTCATAGTGACAGTCTCAATGTCTCTTTGGTATGTACATTTTCTTTTTCTTGTCCAAATGTTTGGATAAGTGAGGATAAGCATCATTATAATGGTTAAGCTCAAGTCAGCCTTGTGCAAAGTTTGAACAACCAAAGAAAAGTTAGTACTTACTTTATCATTGGAGGGTCAGCATGATTATAATGATCATGCTCAAGTCAATCTTAGACTGAGTTGGAATGACCAAAGAAAATGTTGTTTTACTTCATAGATGAAGGTTTTGGAAGACACATGCAAATGCCATGTGTCGAAAAGTGGAATTAATATCAGTCGTCAGTGGACTGAGGAAATGAACACGCCCCAGTGGGGATGTCTTTTTTTCATGTCATGCTAATACTGGAGGAAAGATGGGGAGAGAGAGGCACGGGAAATGTTTATCTTTTTATAGACTTAAACAGTGCCACCTAATGGACATTTGACAAAGACAAGGGAGGTAATAAAATTTCTGTTTCCTTTATTACTAGCATCATGGGAAAATGTATTTCTTTTTCTTTTTTTTTTATTGATTTATTTTGTTTTCCCACCATAAAATTGCTTTAGTATTTTCTCCTTTTTCTTTTTATATTTCATTTAGCTTCTCTTATGTGCATCACAGAAAAGATGAATTGATTAATCATTCTTTTAATTCAAGAAAAGAAAAGCAAACATCACAATGGAAGCATTTAAAATTTGGAAAAATGAAGACAAACTTTTTTTCTTGCACATATTCTATAATATAAAACCCAATGTAGATTGAGGGCAAGGTCCCATCATTTTACAGTTGAAATGACTAAATGCATCTGTAAGTTCTATGATAACGGCTTCTTCTGCTACAATTCCCGCCCATTGAACTCTCTTCTGTTTTCTTTCTTTCCAATTTTGATCTTTAAAAATTCATATTAAGAATCAATCATTATCGTCTGTCTTCTTAATTTGAGTTCTTTCATTGCTTTCTATTTCTCTTTCTATCTCTCTTTTTAATAGAGCTTTTTTTTCCCTCATAATCTCTAACCCCCTGAGTCACAGCTGCTTTATTTGCGTTGTTGGAATGAAATGTTTTTCAAAAAATACCTCTATGTGTTGCAGTATATATATATATATATATATATATATATATATATAGTTAGTTAGTTTATGAAAAACTAGGTAATCTGTATGGGTAAACCTAAGGAGGATAAAATCCAGAGAGCTCAATGTAAATTCAGAGCAAATAATTTAAATAAAAACAGACCACTTTAAGGTTCCATGTAATAAATTATTTCACCACAGCCCTTTTAAAGGACTGCGGATCATCAGACTTTACTTCCAAACAAAAAATGAAAATGAAATTTACATATTTTTGACAGGCCATATTAAACATATGTAAATTAAGGAAGTGAGGGAGGAGAGAGAAGACATGAGTGAGTTAGCAGATATTGACACATGGAAGTAAAGTCTGATAATCCGCAGTCCTTTTAAAAGGGCTGTGGTGAAATAATTTATTACATGGAACCTTAAAGTGGTCTGTTTTTATTTAAATTATATCAAGCATGGTGTCCCTACTCACTAATGTGATACACTGTTATTATATTAACAGGAAGAATTCTTTTTTAGGTACCATTTCTCCTTAACCCAAGTAAGACTCTGGTTCACTAGAAATATGACACTTTTTGCCCATTTTCTAGACATATGCCTGTGTACTTGGAATGTTGAATTGAACCCTATATTTCGCTCACTGGAGTGCCATGTGCCATGTCTAATGGATGTCAGTTATCAGTTATCTCCTTTTAGTTATCTCCTGTTAATTAATGTCAGTTATCAGTTATCTCCTGTTAATTAACAGGAAATAACTGATAATTGACATCCATTAGACATGGTACGTGGAACTAGAACAGTATGAACATGTAGATGTCATTTCTATCAAATATACAAAAAGATTATGTAAATCTATGGGGCTTGAAAAGATATGTTTAACACATTATCAAGGCTGGGGAATATTTGGCAAACTCGTTAGTCTGCCTGTAAAACTGACCAGAACGATAAGCTAATTGTACCCACCTGGTTATAAAAGGAAGTGTAGACCGCAGCCATTACAGCAACTTCATGACTTATTACACGGTCTTTGCGTTCAGACTTCATCTCAATCATAGTCAGCATGGAACCAAATGTTAGAAACATTCGGTTACTGTCATGGCTGTTCTCGTCCTTATGTTCTGCAATTTCATCCAACAGAAGTGTAATGCACACTGCAAGAATAACAAGTATATGAGTTGCTATTCAATACACACACACATATATATGAATGAGTTAAAGATCACATGTAGATCAAATATGGATCAGAATCCGACAGGATGATAAGATAAAGAACAAATAGGAAACATTTATCAATCTAACATGTTTCACTTTTATTAAAGCTTCATCATATATATAAATAAAGACACACATACACAAACACATATATGAATGAGTTAAAGATCAAATGCAGATCAAATATGGATCAGAATCCAACAGGATAATAAAATAAAAGAACAAATAGGAAACATTTACCAGTCTAACATTTCACTTTTATTAAAGCTTCATCATATATATGAATAAAATTCTTTATTAATTTTTATTCATTATTTAAAATTCATTCTTTTTATTAATTGATTTTATTAATTATTTTATTCATTCTTTTTATTCATTAATTTTATTTATTTTTATCATTCTTTTATTTGTTCATTTTTATTTATATTCATTCTTTATTCACTATTTACATTATTCGAACTATTGTCCTCATCTTTGTCGCCATATTTATCACGTTTCAGCTGTTGTATGCTCCAGCCTTCTTCAGTTGGTTGGAATGTCGAATTGAACCCTATATTTCACTCACTGGAGTGCCATGTGCCATGTCTAATGGATGTCAGTTATCAGTTATCTCCTTTTAGTTATCTCCTGTTAATTAATGTCAGTTATCAGTTATCTCCTGTTAATTAACAGGAAATAACTGATAATTGACATCCATTAGACATGGTACGTGGAACTAGAACAGTCTACCCCAGTGAGCGAAATAATGGGTTCCGTTCGACATTTCAGTCACCTGAAGAAGGCCAGAGCGTACAATGACCGAAACATTGGGATAAATATGGCAACAAAGATGAGGATAATAGTCCAAATAAATTAAATAGTTTACATAATACCTCATCTCAGAAATATAGACAAATACTGAAAAAAAATCAAGATTTTATGAGATGTAAATATGCACACAGATTCCATTTTTGAAGCCACCCCACAAGATATCACCATGAGAAAAAATAAAAGAAAAAAAAGAAAACCCTAAATTAAAATTAGACAAAAATAATGAAAAATTATGTGATTGTAGAAGCCCTGAAGACTGCCCGTTTGAAAACCCGTGTGTGTGTGTGTATACACCAAGTCAATGGTGGTACCTATAGAAAATATTTTTTTTATTTACATAATTTACATTCAGACTAATATCCTCATCTCTGTTTGCAACATTTTCCCAAATTTTGTTTCCCTGTTTTCTTCAGGTGTCTCTCAATCTGAGTAACCTGGGAATTTCAAACTGAACCCTTCATTTAATCTATGGGCACAGATTGTTTTTGTTCCACTGGCTATATCTAGGGATATCTCGTTTTTAGTATTGCTCACTTATTGCTCTAGCAGTTTCCACTGAGTCTAACTCTGCACTACGCAAACCAGGGATTGAACTCCCCAATTATTATGTCACATTATATATATGAGATTTAGATGAGAACATCCAAATGTAGATTTATCACTTACTTATTTTTTTGGCAACCTGAGCAGGCATAAAAAGAGAAAAACTTCCAATTCCTATATATTTTTAAAGATAAAAATAGGCTAAAGAAAGGAGAAACTTTAAATGATTTCCACTCTGGTGGAAATTTTTGAGTTTCTTCTGATGTGGCAGGCAATATCAACACCTTTCCAGAACTTTCCCAGATCAAGTGATGAGAACTCTCCTTCAGGTGAAGGTGAAGATATTTAAAAACAAGAAATAAAAACTACAAAACATATCTTTTTTTCCTGCCCACACAGCAACTAGAACCAAAAACAGATTTTGGCAAGTGCTAGCCACAGACATGACCAATCAGTTTAAACTTATTTGAAAAATAGCCAATAAACAGAAGATATGCAAATGAATTGGCTATATTTAAACAGTACCCAGAAATGTACATCAGTGATATATACCAAATCAGCAAATCATAAGTCAGTGTCAGGAATTAGATTTTTATATATCATTCCTTTTCAAAGATTGTTCTGTGCATAGTTATGAGTATTCTCACCCACACCCATTTGATGGAATCAATTTCATATGGTTGATGGAGTCAGTTTCAACTCACTAAATGTGACGTCATACAACCGGCAAACTGAAATCTTTATCTGTGTGCGTGTTTTTGTTTATTCGCCACCACACTTAGGTTAACTTGTCATTTGTCAAAACTTACTGTAATTTCGTGCACATATTGATGAAAATATGACAAAAAGACAAAATAATATTAACATTAGACAAATTTTATTCAGGACATAATGCAAAGAAAGACTCCAAGGTCTGGAGGCTGTTGTAATAAAAGAGAAACAGCCAACATTAAATAATGTATCTTTCTCCATAGGGGACCGTATACTGAAGTGTTTTTTAAAATAAAAAACAGTTTGATCGTTTATATAATGTCACCTTGAGTGACTTGAAATTGATTCCATCAAACATTTGAAATTGCCAGAATTAAAAATCAGTTGCATAACTACACACAGAACAATCAGTGAAAAGAAATGGAGTAACATTCAAAAGTACTCGAGGGGGAGAGGCTGAATTTTTATTTATATATATATATATATATATATATATATATATATATATATATATATATATATATATATATATTTGGTTGGATTGATGTGAGTTTGTGACCCTGGGTTTCACGCTTTTTTATGATCGTCTTTATCAATCAATCATCAATCCAACCAAATATGTTAGGTCTATCTCTGATATTGAGCGCTTTCTAATAAGTACCGCGCATATAATATATAAATTATTATATATATATATATATTTATTTATATTTATATACACACACTTTTCACACACAACACACACACACACACACACATATATATATATATAAAGTTATGAAAAACTTGGTAATCCGTATGGGTAGTCCCAAGGAGGATGAAATCCTGAGAGCTCAATGCAAATACAGAGCTAATAATTTAAAGAAAAACAGACCACTTTAAGGCTCCATTGTAATAGTTTATTTTACCAGAGGCCTTTTAAAGGATGCTGGGTCATCAGACATCACTTTCAAAAGGTGAAACGAAAAATGAAATGAAAATTTACACTTTTGATGGGTAGTATTAAGTTTATGTAATTTAACAGAGAGGGTAGTGAGGAGTGGTGGGAGAGACATGCTCGAGTTTAGAAAGGGTTTATTTTAATATTTCTTTCTATCATACTTAGTATTGAAGAAGGAGGGATCCGTCATTGACCTATTTAATCGGTCAACTTAATGGAAATGATATGTTGAGAGGGAAGTAAAGAGAAATGTATTTAGGGTTTACAGAGGAAGAAGAGGGGTGGTATAGTTTTAGCAATTTAGGTAAAAAAACAGATTTTAATGTTTGATAGTAATTTAAATGTTTAAAAAAATCCACGAAGAAATTAATTTGATGCTTGCTAGCAATTTAAATATTTAACTCTTTTACAAATAATTTAGGGATTTAATATGAGTTAAATACTATATTTAAAAACATATTAATAAAAAACACATTAAAAAATATTTAAAATATAAAAGTTTACTGATAGTAATCTTTTTATGATATATATATATATATATATATAGAGAGAGAGAGAGAGGCATGATGACGTAATGGATAGCGGCTTGTATTGAGGAATCAGAGAGCCGAGTTCGAATTCCAGTCGAATCCATTACATTCACTTACATGCTAATACCCTTGGGAAAGGTGTAAATCTTCTTCTCCTCCCTCCAGCTATGAGTAAATAGCATGACAGACTGGGTTCTATAACTATGGATGGTAACTGATGTAGAAGAAGCGTAACTCTGAATTCAAAACCTGCACAGGGTTGTTTGGGGACCTTGTGGCACGTAGTGCACCAGGTCTCTGTATTCGGCCCTTCAAAAAGTGTGGATGGTTCTGCACGAAACCTTCACCACTATAATCAAATCTCATGTGCTGTTGTCGGGCTGTCGGTTTCCTAGGAACCGATCTGCTTGACCCTCATACGTCAAATTCGATAGGAGAGTCGAGTATATATATATATATATATATATATATATATATATATATTTTTCATATCAACAAACAGTATTTAGAAAAATAGTATGACAAATTGGAAAAAAGATTTTGTGATGTGTTTCATCCATTAGGATTTCATCAGACTGGGCTTTGTTGATGTTGCCATGTCTATGCATACACATCAAATGAGAGACGCTGGTAGTTTCAAAATTTTTGAAACAATATTTTTTCAATGTAGCCAAATTCATCTGAATTCTTTATCTCTTCATCATCTTTGTTCCTGACTATCTATGGCGGGGATCGAACCTGCATCTCCCTTTTTAGAAGAAATCAACATGAGTGTTATAGTTCAGCACTATTATTTAGATTATTTTTTTTCAAAATCCCATATCTGATCAGTTTCATATCCAAAATGTAAACAAAGTAATTTCTAAAGAAGTAATGGATTTCTTTATAGCAACAGTAATAAAGGAATGTAGCTATCAGTTTCAAATTTATTATTCCTTATAATATTTTAGTTTTGAAAACATAAATCTTTTTTGAAGCATCTAGTAATATGAGCATTTCCAAAAATTTGAATATTGTGGAAAAGTTCATATTTTTTCTGTAATTTAATTCAAAAATAGAAACTTTCATATTCTTGAGTCATACAATTTCAAACAAATATTAAAATGAACAAAAGGAAAACTTCAACTACAGTAGTTGGTAATATAAAAATAATTTTTTTTTACAGCTTATCAATCTTTTCTAGGTTATTTAAAGCCAGAAAATATCTTTAGAGTGTAAGAATTTTTTGGATGTAACAATGAGTTACTGATACAAATCCTACAAATTAACCCATAGTTGGAGAGAGAAGAAATGGATTCATATCTTTCCCAATGGTTTTTGCGCATGAATGAAAATAACAAACACAACTGGAATTTGAACTCAGCTCTCCGATTTCCAATTGCAAGCTGTTATCCATTGCACCACC